ATATATATATAAATAAATATATATACAAATAAATATATATACAAATAAATATATATACAAATAAATATATATACAAATAAATATATATACAAATAAATATATATACAAATAAATATATATACAAATAAATATATATACAAATAAATATATATACAAATAAATATATATACAAATAAATATATATACAAATAAATATATATACAAATAAATATATATACAAATAAATATATATACAAATAAATATATATACAAATAAATATATATACAAATAAATATATATACAAATAAATATATATACAAATAAATATATATACAAATAAATATATATACAAATAAATATATATACAAATAAATATATATACAAATAAATATATATACAAATAAATATATATACAAATAAATATATATACAAATAAATATATATACAAATAAATATATATACAAATAAATATATATACAAATAAATATATATACAAATAAATATATATACAAATAAATATATATACAAATAAATATATATACAAATAAATATATATACAAATAAATATATATACAAATAAATATATATACAAATAAATATATATACAAATAAATATATATACAAATAAATATATATACAAATAAATATATATACAAATAAATATATATACAAATAAATATATATACAAATAAATATATATACAAATAAATATATATACAAATAAATATATATACAAATAAATATATATACAAATAAATATATATACAAATAAATATATATACAAATAAATATATATACAAATAAATATATATACAAATAAATATATATACAAATAAATATATATACAAATAAATATATATACAAATAAATATATATACAAATAAATATATATACAAATAAATATATATACAAATAAATATATATACAAATAAATATATATACAAATAAATATATATACAAATAAATATATATACAAATAAATATATATACAAATAAATATATATACAAATAAATATATATACAAATAAATATATATACAAATAAATATATATACAAATAAATATATATACAAATAAATATATATACAAATAAATATATATACAAATAAATATATATACAAATAAATATATATACAAATAAATATATATACAAATAAATATATATACAAATAAATATATATACAAATAAATATATATACAAATAAATATATATACAAATAAATATATATACAAATAAATATATATACAAATAAATATATATACAAATAAATATATATACAAATAAATATATATACAAATAAATATATATACAAATAAATATATATACAAATAAATATATATACAAATAAATATATATACAAATAAATATATATACAAATAAATATATATACAAATAAATATATATACAAATAAATATATATACAAATAAATATATATACAAATAAATATATATATATATATAGATTTTCTTTTTACTTGGATTAATGAATTTTAATGTTGTATTCTTAAGCAGCTGATAGATATGAAGTAAATTTTATCTACTTCCACTTCCAGGAGACAGCTTTACAAGTAGACGGGAGCAGAAAACTCATTTTTGTAGTCTGATGGCTCAGGGCGAATCATCAGACATAAATTGCACTGATTACACTGTTCTTAAGAAAGCAAATGACTACATGGAGTACGAACCGGTCGAGAACTGTACAAATGACTCTCAGGAACCAAATGCTGCAGAGGCCCTCAGTAACTTTGTCCCTAACACTACTCTAAGTGACATGACTGAGGTCACTCACTTGATATCTGATAACAGCATCAGTGACATAACTACGGTGGCTGGATTGGTTCCCAACAATGTGACAAGTACATCTGTTGGCCATTTGATAGCACAGGTCTCAGGGAATATTGTGCCCATCAACGAAGCAGTCCCAAGCACAAGCTTCAGAGAGTTGCATCCCCAGGCTCACAAGACGTCACACCCAGCCAGCGAAATTCTCGAACAGCCAAATTCTCCAGACACTTATGAAAATAGTACTATGCTAGAAGGAGTCCCGGCCCTCTCAGGCAAGCATGAGGCTGACGTTCTCTCCCAAGCCTTTGCCGTGATGGCTGACGACAACATCATTAGGGAGTGCGTCAATCTCGACACTTGCTCGCAGTTGCCACAGGATGCCCAGGACAGCCCAGGAATGGACTCCACAATCTATACTTTGGTGACGGTGGATGGGGACAATTCACAGCCAACTTTAATCAATATTCCCTCTATCAGTAATGCCGGAGTGGAGGAAAATGTGACGCTGCAGATCAATTTCCCGGAGAGTGGGTCAGAGGTTTCTATTATTATTGGATAAATTGTGATTGCTACTTTGTGAACTTGCTTGTGCATCTCTTTGTTGTTGACAAGCTGTTCTAATATGTGTATATGTATTATGGTTGTTATATTTATACATCTTTGAATATTTATTTTGTTATTTTTTTTCAATTTTATTTTTTGAATATCTTTTTTATGCATAAATTGACAAAATGATGAAGTGTTTTATTCAATCCAAACTTTTTAGATATGTGAAAATGTTACATAAATAACCAATAATCTTGTATGCTATACCAAAAACGTAGTGCATAGAGCAAACTATTGTTACACGTAAGTAATTGATTTCGAAAGCATCATAACTGTATTTTGACCAGGAGTGAGGTTAATTATTTTTCCTCCTGGTGTAATACTCTAAATTAACTTTAGTATCTATACAAGAGAGTCTCCTTACACACTAATATACAAACCTAATTTACATCACAATTACTGATTAATCAAGTTTTCTAGTGAATATATATTAATGTTACTTATTTTACATAGTATGAATATACTCACAGCATCTGTTAGAAATGATGCTTTTATCCAAATCTTTTTCTAACAGGTATCTTATACTTAATATTGATCCCAGAAGCCAATTCTAACTATGTATCAGACTGAAGAGTAACAAATTAATTTTCCTTTCCTCACAGAATAATTGCTTCCATATTGATTTAGAAGTAGATCTTGGTTCCGTACTAAATTCCATAAGGAAGATATTGAGAAATTCAGAGCCTGTTTTACCAAGGAGAAAAATATTATCAGTAACAGACAACCAGAAACAGGGTGTCAGATGACCAAAGGTTTCAGTAGCTCATTTATCTGTATATTCTTCATTTACATTTCCCAGTAATGACGAAGACATTGATGTGAAAAAGAAATATAGAAAAATAGTTACAGTAAACAAAAATGTATAGTTATGTCAGATGCTTTGGAAATGTATAAGTAAGATTTAAAAAACTGCCTTGAGATTATTAAACATGTATTTTATTGACCTACAGCCCAACAGCAGTTAAAACAAGATGAATATAGTGCTACATGAGACCCAAATTTCTTAATATGTGTAAATAAAAGTTGAATATACAGCTCTAAATTATATAGATTTGTAGATAAGTGGAAATTAAAAGTGAGATAAGAATACACCAACAGACAACCTATCATTATGACTGGTTTAAAGGTGAAAAATACCTGGAGAAACTCGGGAAAAAGGCTATAAACAAATACTTTGAACGAGATACTATGTTTAGCTGAAATTCCAAACTCCAAATATAAGAAATCATTAGGTAAACAGATATTATACACTTACAGGATTCAACAGTTTAATCAGTTTTGAAAATAATGACAAATTTGTTCAGTCAAAAATGAATTTTGATATTGTATGCTGGATGTACCATTTATCATTTTACTTTTGTTTTGCTTAGTCTAAGTATCCCACCAACTACACAACAAATACACACATTTGTCCAGAATAGTTATGAGAGATCAAGTTATTACTTTCATTATAAAGGTAGTTAGCTTCAGAAATTCATTAGTAGTATTTACAATTCAAGAAAAGGGAGAAATGAAAGTATGATTATGTGCATTACCACTTAATGTGTAATCATATAAAGAGGACCAAATGACAGGGACAGGGTGAAGCTAGTCTTCCTGAATCTCACTGATCTGAACTGCTAGTAAATTTACTTTTATGTCAATGCAGATGATATTATGCATTAAGAAATACTTTAGGTTCATAATACATTTTCTGAGATGAGAGACAGCTTGTGATTAACAACTCTCTCCATGCTTAAATATATATGCAGGATTAAAGATAATATGAAAGATAATGTAAGTGCTCAAACTACAGATTCTTTTATAACCTCTAGAGTATATAGAGGTATATGAAGGAAATGTAATATATCCTTATCTCCATTTCTGTATTTTCAGTGAATGAGTTTTAGCAATATAATGTGCATGATTACCTAAATATCCATGTTTGTTGTTAATGCCCTTATATCCAGAGCCAGTTACACATAAGCTTTAGTGTAACATAAATCAAATGTCTGGAGACCTACCCAGATTTTTAAAAATATAATTACCAGAGAAACTTCTTCCTTCAGGCAAGAATTAGTAAGCATGTTCAGGATTTTTTTTTTTTTTCTGCATCAACATCTAAGGTCATTAGCGGCATATATAAAATACAGTAATTGGCTGGGGCTTGCGGGCAAAGTCCCCCAAGTATATCATTATGATAAAGTATTATGGTAAAAAGGATAAAAATAAGTTAATGATTTGGATACATGTACAAAGGAAGGGAAAGAAAGAAAAGGAGAAGAAAAGACCATGCAAAATTTGTTGAGGTGAGGGCTGAGGTCCCCTACAGCAAGCATGAGTCTGTGTCTCTTAAGCCCCCCACAACAATGAGCAAGGGGTGAGGGTGTGTTCAGGGTGAATTGCCTCCATGAGTTTCAGTTTCAGCATATTTTTCAGAGTGTGTAATAAATGTGCGCTGAAGTGAAACTTAAGTTATATACATGAAGAAAGAAACATACAGTTTCTGTTACAATCAATCAGGACTCTTGTCATGGTAGACCACCCTTTATACTGGGATGACGTCTTTGCATCATGCATTGTCAAGTCTTCTCTAAATTGTGCATGTTACATAGCTGAGCCCTGGCTATATTTGTTGAGGAGAAATAGACCCTTAATAGTATGGTGAAAACCTCTTTTTAGCCTCATTATCTAAAAAATTGTTTATGCCAGAGATTACAGAAGGATAATTCTGTATTCCCTGTGTGTCTGATTCTTATCTCGAGCAATTGAGTCTCAAAGTCTTTGAGAGGGTCATTGAGAAGGAAATGAGGAAAGAGGTAGATATTGACAGAATGCAATTTGGGTTTATGCAAGGAAGAGGAAATGGGGAAGAAGAAGAAGAATCTTTATTTTGTTTTTTTTATCTGGAAAAGGATGTTGTAAAATGGCATTGATGAATGGTTAATAGAAACAGCAATGACTATGTATAGGAGTAACAGTGCAGTCTGATTGAACAGCAGGGTTGGTGCTCGGAAAACTGGTATGGAAAACAGACATTTATGAGTTAACACGACAAAAACAAAAATCATGGTTCATGGTAAAGGTAAACTCAGAGAAACTCCAAATTTTAAACGCAGACAATATATACATCCACAGGTAGAAAACTGAGCACCAAAGTTAACCTCAGGAATGAGAACTATGAAGTGGTCAATCGATTCTGCTAAGTGATACGTTGAGTGGAGGTGGTGGAACCAAGGCAAGCTCAATAATGCATGTAAGAACGGGCTGGGCAAAATTAAGGGAGTTCCTGCCCCTTTTGACATCACAGATGCTTTCACAAAAAAGAAAGGGGAAGCTCTAAGCAGTTTGTGTCAGAAGTGTCATGGCTTGCAAGAGCTGATGACATAAGTAGACTTGCAAGAACAGAACATAAAAGAAAATCTTCTGAGGAACTAAGAGATAGGCTTGGCAGTGAAAGTATCTTCAATATCAAATGCATCTCAGGTGGCAAGAGGAGAGAATGGATAAAGAAAATTAGACGTTTTTAAAATTAATGTTACCAGGTGCCAGTGGTAAAGGAAGGACAAACAAGACCTGGTAACAAGTAATTCAAGGGGACTTGCATGAACTGGGGATAGAAAAAGAGTTAGCACAAGACTGTAATGCTTGGAAAAGAGCCATTAAGAAAACTTGGTTCAACCCATGTTAGCTTGGAAAGTGGATGTTAAATAGAGATGAGTCTATACACTGTTGTGTTGTTCTTTATGGCACTGGAGTTCCCATTCTTACAAGCTAAGAAATAAGATCATCATTGCAGTGTATGATGTTATTTTTCTTTGTTTTAGATATATTATTGTACAAAAACATTATGTAGTTTATCTACACTCACATTAAGTATGTGCTTTTAGTTTACTTGTCTTTCACAGATGTTCAGACAGCTTAATCATGATGGATGGGTAATGTTTATACTTGCTCAGTTTACTTTATACCTTTGGAAGAAACATGTGGTATATAAGCCAATTTTTCTCTTCGGTATAGCCACATTTCATGTAATGCAGGTATCTTATCAACCAAGAGTGGCACAAGCCAAATGCATGGTGTATGACAAGTATCACTGAAAAGCATCAGTGAATAATTATCGCACTGGATGAGACTGTGTTACTTCCACCACCACCACAAGGATGACATGGAATAATGTATAGTAGAAACGTGTGGAGTGCATAAACTTAAGTTTCCACAGGTTGAGCACTGATTAACAAGTATTATTATTATTTACTGAAAATTTCCTTCCATGTCGTCAGTGGCGTATTCAAAGTATAGTGATATCATTAGGCTTGGGGCCCGCAGGCAAGGAAGTGCTATATTATATCAAAAGTCATATGGCACTATGGTAATTTAGAATAGTGAAAAAGGTTAAGAACGAGTTAATGATTAAGGTAAAGTTAAAGGCAGAACAGTACTAGATGGTGGTATGGTATTGGAAGGGGCAGAGAGGGGGAGCTGATGAGATATAGTATAACGTAAAGGTTGTTAGAAGAGGAAGGAGTTAAGGGAGTAGGAAGCATTATGATAAAGTACTGTGGCAAAAACAGCAAAAATGAGTTTAATGATTATGATAAGTGGACAGAACAAGGGGATGATGAAAAGAAAAGGAGAAGAAAAGACCATGCAAAATTAGTTGAGGGAAGGGCTGAAGACCAAGGCTGGGACGATCCCCCACGTTGGGCCTTAGTCCCTGTCTTCTCAGTGCCCCATGACAACAAGAAGCAAGGGATTGCGGGGGGGGATTGACATGTACTAGGTTAAATCTTTGCACCCCATTTCAAGAATAATATTTGTGGTTAATTTGTCTCCTATGTACCTAGATTCAATGGTTATACTAAATATCAAAAGGTTCATTTTGAAATATCTTAGTATGTACGTAACAGTGAATATGAACATATATTGTGAATTACAGGCCATGTCAAGTACATACATATATATATATATATATATATATATATATATATATATATATATATATATTATATATATATATATATATATATATATATATATATATATATATATATATATATATATATATATATCATTAAGTATATTAATCATACTTTGTCTCATTGCATTAGTTTAGATTTTTTTCTTGGAAAAGTCACTATATTGTATTT